TCCTCGTATTTATCTGGGCTGACTTTGAAAGATATAACCTAAGAAGTAAATATAAGCTTTCCTTGTATTTATCTGGACTGACTTTGAAAGATATAACCTAAGAAGTAAATATAAGCTTTCCTTGAATTTATCTGGGCTGACTGCTTGAAAGATATAACCTAAGAAGTAAATATAAGCTTTCCTTGTATTTATCTGGGCTGACTTTTAAAGATATAACCTAAGAAGTAAATATAAGCTTTCCTTGTATTTATCTGGGCTGACTTTGAAAGATATAACCTAAGAAGTAAATATAAGCTTTCCTTGTATTTATCTGGGCTGACTTTGAAAGATTTCAAAAAGAAAGACTTGTAATACACATGGATTATTGAGAACTTAGTAGCCTTGTTAGAAAACTTGTTGAAATAATGGTTGATAGTAACAAAACTAATTTAAATGAGTTGTTAAAGTAGCAGATGTTTAATGAAAGCAAAAGAAAATTGATGAATTGTCAGACTAACCCAGAATCAGTATTAATGTATATTATTTTATATTTTATTAGTGTATTCTATATGTATACATCCCAATCCTGTTGTATTTGTGTAGTTAAAATAAAAAGTTTGGGAGAAAAAAGGTAGACACTGCATTTTATATTCTCCCTTCTGAAAAATGTAATGTGAATATACCTTGAATTCTATATTTTTTAAATTAGCAAAGTAGAAGCTGCACAGAATGGATAGTGTGGGCTAAAAGAAAATTATAAGTATGAAAAGTTGTGTTAAACGATCACAAAATAATCAATAAAATAATAAAAAATCAACTTAATTGATTACTTAAGTTGAATCACCGATAAAATCCTCCTGTATTTTTTCCCTTTGTGAATAGATGGCCTGATTCATATGCCAGAATATAAAGTTTGACTAAAATATTCTATACTCTACAGATGTATTAATCATAATTTTAAGATATAGTTTGAACCCTTTAGCCTAGTCTGCAAACTCTGATAATTGCTGGAACTTTATAAATTAAACTTTTCATAAATATGATAAGATGAATAAATTTTTATTTGTTTGAAATCAGGTACCGAAGCTTGAAGCAACGATATGATCTTAAACAACATGAGATGGAGCTTTTAAAGTCCAGGCTACAACAAAGTACTCACCATCAACAGCTTGAAGAATTGCAGAGGTTCCAGAAGTTAGTTGGTATGAGCTTTGTGTTATTGTTTATTATAAATTTTGTTTCTCAGATATCCAGTTCTTAAATTACCTCTTATTGTTTCTGCTATAAGCAATAAGATCATGTACATTTTTAGGCACTTCTTTAGTCTAAATTTAATATTATTATTTTTAATAGTCTTTTGAAATATGAAGTAGTACATGGTCATAGCATTGCTGTATTTGTTCCAATTTTATACTCAAAGTAACTCGGCAACTTTAAGATTCATTTTCGAAAATGATAATTCCACATAATTATTCTGTGAGAAAGTCACTTAAAATTATTCCTCAATTAGAAATAAGTTGAAATTATTATAATAGAAACGATGTTTTGAACATGTTTATTCTCCATCTGGTCACTACATTTTACATAAATTTTCCTCCTTGTCTATACAAATTGCTTTTGAATACCCTTGAACCAGTTTTAAAATTTTTCTATAAATGTCTTGTATTTATAATTTTCATAAATTTCATATTTAAATTTTTTCTCTTACATATTTTTTACTGTTTTTACAATATTTATTTAAACCTCAAACTATAGACTTGTGTTTATACCATTCAGTTTTGATGAAGGCCTACTTATTACATTATATAGAGTAATGTTATGTATTTGCTTATTACAGTTGTCAGTATAAGGAACTGACCAAAAAAATGGGTGAAATCATAATTTTCCATGTAAATTGCATAAGTACTTATTGGAATTAAATGCAATTTTTATGGTATTTTTTGTTTAAGATCCTTGTATGGCTCATATATTAATAGGTATCTTATAACTATCAAACTCGCATGAGCATATTGTTGCATAAATAATTTAGAAAGCCAATCCAATCCATACGGACACCACCATCAGTAATTTAAGTGTTGAAATGTACTGTATACTTAATGCTTTTAAATATTTTTCATATTGAACTATATATAACTTATTAAATTTTGTTTGTTTTTGTATTAATAGTTTAAATTTTTATGAAAGATGTAAGAATGTTCTGTGAATAATATTTATTTTTAACATATAAGAAATTAAGGAAAATTAATTTTAAAAAATCTTTAAGAGTAACTGGTAAATACTACACAAAAAATTTGAAGATTAAATTTTAAATATGACATACGTTATGGCTAGAATGTAGTAAACGTAGCTTAGAAAGGCCAGTAGGAAGAACATCTGATAACATTGTTAAATATTTATATCAGTGTAACATGGATTTTGCTATGTTTTGTTACAGAGGAAGAACAAACAACAGTTACAAAGTGTCTTGAAGTCAAAAAGAAGGCTCAAGAACGGGTGAAAGACTTGGAAATTAAGATTAAAGATGCAAAAGCTGTAAGGGAGCAAGAGCTTCGAGCAGCAGAAGAAGCTATCAGTAAGTGTAAGAAAAAGGCAGGGGAATCAAGCAAATTAACCAAAGAAAAGGAACAGGTATGTGTATTAATTTTGTGTGACTGTCTTACTGTTACTGAATGACACAAATTTGTTAAGAAATGTGAATATTATTTCAAGTGTATTTGTACAGACAACTTTATTTAAATTTCCAGATTGTACTGGCTCACTAATATTTTATTTTTTCTGTATGAACAATAGAATTTGAGTATTTTAATTACTTGAAAAACTACTGGAAGTGAATATTTTGTAGCTAGAATTGACACAAGGATTATCCAAAAACACTTCTCAATATAGGTACCAATTCTTCATTAAGTAGTGTGAGTAGAGTTGATGTAATTACTAAAAAAATGATCACAAGAGAAGAAATAATTTAACAGACAGTCCTTTTTCATAACTAAAGTCTATCAGAGAATAAAGATTACAATAGTGTAACTACATGAGATTTTCTGGGAAATGGCAGGAAGCTGAAAGTTTAAAGCTGGAAGTGGAGGAGCTACAGAAAGGTTTGTCTACATATACTGAACAAATGAAAGCTATCGATGATGCTATCCAAGGGTATGAAAAACAGGCTGAGGCATTAGGTGATACACTGAAGGAGAAAAAGGTACAGATTCCATTATCTACTTTTTTTATATTTGATAAAATGAAATTAGTATCTTATGGAATAGCTGTTTAGCACTAAGTGTTTGAAATTCCTTTAAAGATCGGGTAGTCATCGGGTTAAAGATCTAGCTACAGGGTTCTTATGGGTGTTTAGAAACTTTCAAATCATTGCATGAAAAGCATGTAAAAGTATGCAATTTATTGCCAAAGCTTTAGAAAATTTAAAATGGACAGTTGAACTTTGAAAAATTGATCCCCTAATATACGTCTTCATTTTTCATGATATGGTGGTTCATAAAAGCCGTCTATAAACGAATGCTTATCTACTTTTGTCTGCAGATAGCATTCAGCTGTTAGTAATTTGACAGTCAAGGAATCACACATTTAAAATTTGAGCTTTGCCCCAGTATTTTTATGCAAAACTTTTTTGAGATTAATGGGACGGAGGGGGAACTGAAGCTCAGTGTTATGTGACATGACAGCCTTGAACTGCAGGCTTTGATATGAGTAAAGCATTTTAACTACTTTTATCAAAATCTAATTGAAATTGAATTATTGCTATAATAGTAGAATAAATATTAAAAAACTTGTCATATCTTCCAACAATACCCGTAGCTAAACCAGTGTTAACAGACAAAATAGATCTTTAGTTTTATTTTCATTAGAAGGCAGTTAATCAAACAGCTAGCATCTGAAATGATTGAAGAGCTCACAAGCTTCAATTTAGTTTTTGACATTGGTGAAATTCTCAAAAAAACAGTAGAGGTACTCAACTGGGTGAAGTGGACCTATTTTTGAAAAAGAAAAAACATTTATGTATACATAAATAAATAAAACAACAAAGCAGTTCAAATAAAGTACTAGTACCGGCTTAATAAATACCATATTTTTCTGTGTATAAGACACACTTTTTTTACCCTAAAATTTGATGTCAAAATCTGCTTGCGTCCTATACACCAAAGGTATGAATAATATATACGTATATATACAATATACACAAGCCATGTGTAAATATATTTAAATAGGCATACATAGTTTAATTCAATTGAATGTGTTATTTATAACAATGGTAGTTTTTTCTTTTAAAAACATAACTATTTATAATGCTCCCTAAATAATAAAAAACTAAATTACAGTGAAAGCAATGAAGATTTTGTAGGTTTTGAACCAAACTAAATAACTTTAAACCTGTTTTTGATTTTTCCTATTTTGATGTTTTGAGCTCTTTTGTGTTTAGAACAATATATACTAATTTTTAAAGTATCAAATTGAATTTTTGTTCAATAAAAATCTTTCAAATGCGACTGTAGCTTTTTTTCCCCGAAAACCTTGTCCTCAAAATAAGGGTGCGTCTTATGTTCCTAAAAATATGGTAAGTTCTGGTACTCAGTACCAGTGAGTATCAGCAGAATATAACGTACTCTTTGTGTAATCCCCTGTTAGAGAAAAAAAAACCCTCAAATCTAGCATTAATAAAGCTGTCATTACAGACACTGAGAGGATTCCAAATGATTCTTGTTTAATATATCTTGTTGTTTGTACATATTAGACAATGTTATACATACAGGAAAGGTTGTATAATTTTAACTTCACATAATTCTGCAGAGCTTTGTTTTTCATTTGTTCTAGTAATTTTTAGTGAAAAGTCATCTTGTTTTACACTGTTCATAATTCAGTTCACCTGTGTTTTGCCAGTTCTTATTCATTTTGCTAATAATTTGTAAACATTACTTACAAGAGTTTAATTTACTGTGATAACACAGGCTTGCAATGGTTTTATTGTCTTAAAAGTTTTACATGTTCTACAGTATTTCCTGTATGCTGAATTCAAAAACAATATCCACTTTTCTTCATCGCATACAGATTTTTCATAAAACATCATATGTACTTTAACATAAGTGAAACATTTTAATTGAATTCGGGTCACATTTTGTAATGCTTAAAATGTTGACAACCACTGGCTATAGATTTCTCTAGACCAATTGCGATGTGAGAATCTTATTGATCGTTCTAGAACCCACCACTAGTATATAAATGGTTTACAGGCTGCATGACATGTCATTTCTGGATAGTATTTGTTTGTGCGTGCACTTTGACATTATTTTTTCTTTTCTATATTATTTATTCATTGCTATGGCAACAATAGATTGTGTAAATGACCCAAACATATTCTGTTATATATGTGGTAAATTTGTTATAAAGAAACAAATAATTCATTAAAAAGCATATTATGCATATTTTGGAATAAATTTGGGGACCAAGACAAATCATGGGCTCCACACAAAGTTTGCACCATTTGTGTTGAAGAGTTGAGACAATGGACTAAAGGTAAAAAACAAGTCGTTGCCTTTTGGTAGTTCCAGTGGTCTGGTGTGAGTCTAGAAACCACACAGATGACTGCTATTTTGCTCATGTAACGTGCAAGACTACAACACTCAAAATAATAGGGAAATTTCTTATTCAAACCTTAAATCTGCTATAAGACCTGTTGCTCATGGACCTGATGTACCTGTACCTACTCCACCGGAGACTCTTGATACAGTTTCATCTGATTCTGATGTCAATAGAATTGATGATTGGAAATCTTTTCAACCTGAAACATCTAGTGAACCACAACTTTTCACACAAGGTGAACTTAATTTAAAAATTTAGAAAAAACATTTACTTTACACAATAAAATTTTTAAAAATTAAAAATGAATCTACATGTTTTGGTAGCTTCCGCTACCATCATCAGAAGTAAAAATCTATGCAAACTGTGGGTTTTTATACAAGAATGGCCAGACTCACTATAATTCACCAGTGTGACAAAGTCATTCTTGTGTAAAACCCCACTGTTCGTGTAGATTTTTACTTCTGATGATGGTAGCGAAAGCTACCAAAAAATGTAGTCATTTTTACTTTCTTTAAATTATATTGTGGAAAGTAAACGTTGTTTTTACTATATTTTTAAATAAAGTTTATTGCACAATGTTGCCCAATTTATATTTTATATTCTAATGTGAATATTTTAATGATTTGGTGAGAGATTTGGGCCTTCCAAAGGATTCTTCAGAAATTTTGGGGTCCAGACTTTAGGCTAAGAACTTACTTTCTCCAGGAACATCATTTTACTGGTACAGAAATCATAAGAAACAGTTTACACCATACTTTTCGCAATAAAATTTACTGGTTTATTGCAACAAAATTGCTGAATTAATACCAATGCTTGGAGCTGCAGTCAATGAACCAAGTGAGTGGCAATTGTTCATTGATTCCTCCAAAAGAAGTCTAAAAGGTGTTCTCCTTCACAGTGGTAACATATATGCATCTGTTCCTATTGCTCATTCGGTTCACTTGAAGGAAATGTACAAAAATCTCAAACTTCTTCTTAATAAAGTCAAATACAAAGAACATGGTTGGCTACTTTATGGAGACTTAAAAGTCATTTGTATGTTGTTGGGACAGCAAAGCACGAAATCAGCACTGGATAAAGAAGCAATGGCCACACAGAGTCAGCCTGATACCAGGATTGAGAAACAATGAAAGTGAAAGTTCGGTTGACACAAAGAAAGTCCTATTACCTCCACTTCTCATAAAACTGGGCTTAATGAAGCAGTTTGTAAAGGCCTTAGACAATGATGGCAACTGTTTCAAGCATCTTTGTGGGCAATTCCCAGCTCTTTCAGAAGCAAAACTTAAAGAAGGGATTTTTGTTGGGCCTCAGATTAAGAAATTGATTTTGGATGAACAGTTCGAAAGGACAATGAGGAAAGTTGAATAAGAAGCATGGATTGCTTTTAAAGATGTTATTGACAAATTTTTAGGAAACAAGGACCCTAATTACGAAAATATTGTCAATAACATGCTTGATAAATTCAAAGAGTTGGGTTGTAATATGAGTTTGAAAGTTCATTTCTTACACTCACATATTCATATTGACTGTTTCCCTGAAAATATCGGTGCCGTCAGCAAAGAACAAGGGGAAAGGTTTCATCAAGACAACAGGGAAATGAAGAGGAGGTATCAGGGAAGGTGGAACACCAGCATGATGGCTGATAACTGCTGGTCATTGAAACGAGATGCTCCAGATGCAATACATAAAAGAAAGACCACAACACAGTTTGAGACCAAAAGAATGTAGATTTCACAATAAAAATCAGGATGTATATTCGTTTGACATCAACGTTCTTCTGTTTTCTTCAGTTTGTATTTTTATCAACAAACATAATATAATAATAAAAAATTTTCATTGTGGTACATGAAATAATAATTTGATCTAAGTAAGAGTTTTTTTTCTTCCCGATTTGTAACAAACCCTTACATGATAGAAAACAATGAATTTGTGTAGCTGAATTATGGAAAATCCATTATTAAAACCAAAACATCTTTTATGAAGTTTAAATTTGCAGGCCTGTGTAATTACAAGACTGAAGCACAACATTGTTATAACAGCATGCCCATCCTTTAATGAAATAAAAGCAAATGGCAAAGTATATGTATTAGAATGAGCAGTATCTCTTGCATTATATGTACATATTTTCTAGTATCTAGCCAGTTTATTATGGTACTGACCCATGTTAACTTAGTATCAAAATAGATATCTGTATATCTCCAGTTTTAGATCCTTGAAATCTGACTGTTGGTCAATACAAAGTGTTCAAAATATTGTCTTGATACTGTACAAACCCTATACCTAATTTTAGCTTTTCCTTATTTTAAGTTGATCATTATGTATCCCAATTAAACTTAAAGCAAATGTTGGTTTTGTAATAATGTTATTTTCTATTTTTTACTTACTATAGCATTTCTTGTTTTACAGGCTGAGGTTGCAGCAGCAATGCAAGAAGTTAAAGCTCAGAAAGCACATCTGAAGGCCCAAAGTGAAGAAATAGGAAGGCTTCAAAAGGAGAGGGAAGCCTTGAGGAAGGACATTGATGATAAGAAGTTGCATATTCAACAATTAGAGCATGATGTCAATAAAACAAACAAAGAAACTAAAGAAGCAACACAAAAGGTAATATCTAGTTGTGCCAAAAAACCTGTTGAATGATATATATATAAGATCGGGAAATATCCCTGCTTGTAATTTTGTACTACTTAATAATTTGCCGTGGACAGTCAAGTAACTTGCATCAAGGTTTGGCATGCCTGTTACTGAGAGTTTTCGGTGGCAAAAAATATTATATTTTAGAGTTTTTTCTGTAATAATTTTAGCATACTTCAGTTTTTTAAAATAGTTTTGAAAATTTTCTTTCTTAAGTTTTTTTATTTTAAGACTCAATTAAATATTGGATGGTTATGGCTTTATTTAAAGCAAACTTAAACAAATATTTTTTGGGTTCAGGTTCAACAAATGATTGTGAAGTATGAATGGATAGAACAAGAAAAGCAATATTTTGGGGTCTCGAACACAGAGTATGATTTTGTTGCCAATGATCCGAAGGAAGCTGGCCGCAGGATACAGAAACTTCAAGAAACCAAGGATAAGCTGGGGAAAAATGTCAATATGAGAGCACACAATATGATGAATAAAGCTGAAGAACAGGTGGTACTTTTAAACTTAATTGAATAGTTTAAGTTGCTTAGAAAGAATTTATTTTACGGTATATATCCCCCACCCCCCTGTTTCTCTCAAATAGCTAATTGTATTTTGTAGAAAGAAAAAAAACATCAAAATCCTAGAGGCATTTTTAAGCAGCTCTGGCCAACAAGTTTTAAAGCTTTGAACATTTAATTAGTTGGCTATGAATCCTATACGAGGTTATCCAAAGTTGTTTTTATTGTTGGTGTATGGAAAAGTTTGGGTAAAGGTATGGACTTTTCTCACAATGTACAAATAATTCCATTCCTTTATGCTTACTGTATTCTCTTTCAATGGTGTATCTTGATTCCACAAAAAAAAAAAATTCTTATATTTTTCATAGTAAAATTAATGTAGACCAATTAAGTTTCTTTTTCTTTGCTAGTACCAAGATTTGTTACGGAAAAAACGAATAGTAGAGAACGATAAGTCCAAGATTGCTGCAGTAATCAAAGAGCTTGATGAGAAGAAGAACCAAGCCTTGAGGGAAGCATGGGAAAAAGTGAATAAGGTCTGATTTAAATGCAGCTGAAGTGCTTATTATATCACTTCATACAATATTATAAGTTATAAAGGTACTCAATTATACACATAATTTTAAATAAAATATATTTTTTTTAGTTTCTGTTGAATAAGAGAAGTATGTCAGTGTAGCTAACAAAACTACTGTTATAACAGTTACATCAGCATTATGGGGATACAGTTTATTACTTTATTATTTTCTTAGGATTTTGGTTCCATATTTTCCATGCTTTTACCTGGAACCAATGCTAAGCTGATTCCTCCAGAAGGAAAGTCAGTTTTGGATGGTTTGGAAGTGAAAGTGGCTTTTGGAGATGTGTGGAAGGAATCACTGAATGAACTCAGTGGAGGGCAGAGGTAAGAGTTAGCTGTGGCATGTATGCAAATAGCATAAAACAGTGAATCCAATTATCTAATGTAGTGTTTAGTCCTATCTGTGTGCCTACATGATCTTATTCGTAATTTATTTGACAGACTAGTAGCATTGAAGTTTTATGGTGCAAAATAGTCCATTGATAAATGTATTTATTAAAGTTTTAGAAACCCCATTAACAAGTAATCTTTCTTAGACAAGTATAATCATGTTATCACCTTTTTTTAACAACCACAATCACACTATCACTATTACTCTACTACCCCATTAGAAAAGTAATTCTTCTTGGACACACATTCACAATACCACTCATGAATAGCCATTTTTACTACCCTTCTTGGACATATAATCACAATACCACTCATGAATTACTACCCTTCTTGGACATTTAATCACAATACCACTCATGAATGGCCATTTTTACTACCCTTCTTGGACATATAATCACAATACCACTCATGAATTACTACCCTTCTTGGACATTTAATCACAATACCAATCATGAATAGCCATTTTTACTACCCTTCTTGGACATATAATCACAATACCACCCATGAATGGCCATTTTTACTACCCTTCTTGGACATATAATCACAATACCACTCATGAATGGCCATTTTTACTACCCTTCTTGGACAAATATAATCATCTTTACACTAATGAATAAATAATGTCCTTAATAGACCCATTTATTTGTTAGATACATCCACTAAGGACCCAGCTGGTTCTTGAAACTTTAGTGCAGACTCAGAAAAAAAAATTAATATGAAAATCCATTATAAAATGAACTAGCCTCTGCCTTTAACATAATATGACCAAATAGAACCCAGCTTTAGAGAAATTCATAACAAAATGCAATATAAGAACAGACTGTCTTTTTCAAGGCTTAGGTAATTGTTTTTTTAGAGAAAAATGTCACTGAATTATCAATCACAGAATAAAAAATATGATTATACAAGTTCTTTCTACAATGATAGACTTGTGCTTTTTAATTTTATTTGCTTTTTATTTTTAGTTCCCCTAATTGGTAGTCTTTATCTGTTTGCATTCTTTAAAAATTGCTAGTAATCTGCTTGTTCTCTCATTTGTATTTTTTCTTTTAACTCTGTTATTCAGGTCTTTGGTAGCTCTGTCTTTGATTCTGTCCCTACTGCTGTTTAAGCCAGCTCCCATCTACATTCTGGATGAGGTGGATGCTGCACTGGACCTTTCTCACACTCAAAACATTGGTCAGATGCTGAGAAGCCACTTCAAACATTCACAGGTTTATAACTTTTCAGTTCTTTATATTTTTATTTATATGCACATACACTAATTATATATATAATGGTGTTTAACTGTGGAAAGAAAACACCTAAGCTTGGTCTTCTCCACTTTGTTGTATATGTAAGAATGGAGTAGTCTTTTAAACAATTTCTACCATTCACTAAAGATTAAGGTAGATTTTTAAAATTTCATTGAATTTTGCTTGCAAAATAAATGATTAAATATTGATCTTGTCCAATGCTAAATATACTTGTTTATGTATATTAATGACATGTCTCCAGTTGTAAGATGGTGAGTGTGATTCTAAATTGGTGATGTGCTCACTTTACTATGAACAGTTTATCATCGTGTCACTAAAAGATGGGATGTTCAACAACGCCAATGTGCTTTTCAAGACCAAATTTATTGATGGATCATCAACGGTGAACCGCTTTGCCCAACAGCGATCATCAGGACCTTCTAGAAAGTAAAATAAGTCGAAAGTTTATATAATTCAACCTTCAAACAATTTATAGTATAAAGCATTAAATATCTTACTGTCAGATTTCTATCTTCAGTATTCCAGCCAATAAAATTGCTCTGGAGATTATGTTTGAAAAAGTATAATGTTTCTTCAGCCAGCTCTATAACTTGTGTTATAACTGAAGGATTTTTTATCTATTATCTTATTAGTACAATATAAATTTTCTTTTTATCCTTGAAGAAAAAGTACAATGCATGACTTTTTGTGTTAAAGAAGTTTTATTTTTGTCCTAGAAAGATATTAGATATGATGGAAATCTTGAATATAATCATTTTTTTGTGGCTAGGGGTTGGGTGAAACAGCTGACTTAATAAAAAGTATGCACTAACCCTTTTGTGACAGTCAACTTTCAGTGGTAACATAAAAGGTTTTCTTCTTCTTTAGTACAAGTATGTGTAAATATGATGGATAAATACAGCTTTGGACTTATTTTTTTACAATGTGGAAAAATACTTGAACTTATATAGATCACTAGAAATCATCTCATTTTTTGTAATAATATTACCCATTTATAGTTTTAAAATGAAATGTACAGTTTTTGTGTATTTAGCAATTATTAATAAAAGTTGTCTACCATTAAATTTGTTCTTTAATGATTTCTTTAAAATTATTGAATATTACATAAAAATGATCATTTATTAATGTTGTATTACCAAATTATGCAGATATACAACATGTCCAAAGTTTATTTTCTGGAATGTTCCATTAGAACCAGAGATTGGAGCATAGAATATGCAAATCACCAGATGAAACATTATATATCCTGAGAGTCCAATAGAAAATTTTAAAATCCTCAGAGTAGGAAAAATATCACTACACTGGCTTGGTTATTTTAATGTATTATCTTCAAGAAATGTGACAAGGTTGTTGTATACAAAAAAAATATATTTTTAATGAAGTATTTGTATGAAAGATCTGTGAATTTATGAAGCCTTTGCTGGGTCAGACAGACTGCAAGTGTTTATGTTAAAAATAAAAAATGCTATTTTTCATCTTGCAGTTCTTAGATGTCATTTTCTCTACACTAAATGTAATGACCTTGGTCAATTGGTCTGATTTTGTAACCATCATGTAAATATAAGTTACTTTTTTCCTCTAGAGTGCCTGTACATTGTAACAGACATAGCTAATAACTTTTCAGTTTTATTTCATTACAGTTGCACTTAGACCCTCTCAAAGTACACAATAGCCAAGCATGTGCTATGAGTAATATTTAGAAGTTTTCTTATCTAACCCAATTTCTACATTTTAATTGCTTTTTTTTAAAAACAAACAAAAAATATATAAAAAAAAAGACACTTGCATCTCCAATCTTGTCAAGAAATTAATGTCGCTTTTTTTTTGATGAAAAAACCCAAACAACTTTTATTAAATGAAATAGTCTCCATTCTTATCGATGATGCTTTTCCATCTTACAATCAGGTTGTTAATGCCCTGATTAAAGAAATCACTTGGCTTTGTAGCAAAATACATGTTGATGTCCTCTTTAACAGCTTCCACATTTGCATACGTTTTCCCCTTTATATGGTGTTGCAGCAAACAAAAAATGGTGATCTGATGGTGCAATATCCAGAGAATATGGTGGGTGTGGTACAACTTCCCAACCCAACTCCATAATCTTGTGTTGCATCAAACGTGCCACATGTGCATTGTTGTGGAGAAGAACACCTTTCTGATGAAGGGCTTGATTTAAATGTTCCATTTGCTGACTATAGATATCTACATTGACAGTTTGCTGTGGATTGAGAAATTGAAATGAATTGCTCCTTTGATGTCCTACCAAATGCAAAACATCACTTTCTGTGGATATTTGCATAGAGAATCCATTTTTTTATTAAAATATGCAAATTAGAATATGACTTAGTCCTACTTGCTTTCTAAGCTAGAAATTGGGTAAATAATTCACTTATGTGGTTAAGCAGAGGTCCAATGCTGGCAAAGAAAAGGGTGCCAAACCTTCAAACTGGTTATCCCAATGGCTACTGCATCATTTTATTCAGTAAATTGGGATGTTCTCTTCTTATTGGTTATAAATTATCCAATAGCAAATATCCTAAAGAATTATTGACATTTTTGAAAGATGGGATGCCCTAGGAAGGGCACAACGTGGAATTGACTTTCTGGTTTATACATCTATTAGGAAAGATATGTATAAGTTTACATCTTAGCTTGGGCATATCTGTGTAATCCCTTGGCCAGAGTAAATGACTTGTGAAAGATAATATGTAAAGTTTGGAGGAAACTATCTTAAAGTAACATATATCTCAATTTAAAACGCATACACTTACTCTGTTTGGTGAACAAATTCTGTAAATTTAATAGCAAACAAAATATTCACTTCTTTACTAATAGATATTTACACAGTTATAATTGGAACTTGCAAGTCCCTCAATTTTAATAAAATAAATTCAAACATTGTACATATTTTTCACTTATCTATGTGTATACATTTACACATTACATGCTATGTCTAGTTACCTTTTCAACAGCAGACATTTCAAAGAAAGATTCCGGCTATAAATATCCAAGCCATCTAGAACCTCCTTTTATGTACAAATGAATTACTTTACTTGTTTATATAAGCCTGTATACTATTGGTTACACTTTGTAAAAGGATGGTTAAATACATTGTTAATTTCTCATCTCTGCCCAGAAGTTATTTTGGCAAGTTAATAAAAAAAAAGGTATGTGATGCACATGTGTTGTTAACAATATTAGAAATGTAAAATTTTGTTTCCAATGTTCTATTCATTTGTGACAATTACCCATGTATAGAATAAAATCTTCCTCTTTTTTTCCATTTCAAAAACTGAGATCGTTTAAATTACTTTTTTAAAAATCCATTAGAATTGTGACCTATACTGAATTAATCTTCATTGTTTCTTATTTGTTTTTGTTTTTTTGTCATGAATGAATGTAGGTACTCCTTAATAAAATCTGGGTCTTTTATATAAATAACTTGTTTATAATATAACATTTAAAACTTTAAAAACATTGCAATGTATGATAAGGTAAATACCTAATACTTGTTTACATCTTTCATTTAATGTATGACAATATTAAACGTCAGGAGAAAAACGTTAATTATATTCCGGTTTTCATTGTCGCTTCTCACATAGCTTGTATCTTAGAAGCTCAAATCATATTTCAGTTCTCAAACATAAGATCAAAAGTGCCCATTCAGTTGCTCTTTGAAACCAGTGGAGTACATTTTTTTATTTCTAGTTTGGAAATAGTCCAGTTAGGCAAAGTTCCTTCAGTATAGTCTCTGTAAAACCTGGAAAAAATAATCAAAAATTCTAGAAACATTAATATTTACAGCATCACAATGGTTATTTTACATGCTTTATATTATCAAATTTTATTTTAAAATCACTAATAAAGACTATATGTACCCCTTATAATCATAACATAAGGCTTGTATTCATTGGGTTACCTCTAATTGTAACTTGTAGAAGTTACACACTGAAATTTTGTAAACCTTTATTTTCTGACATATTTGCTATGAGATAGTTTTGAAACAAGAACTTTAATGTTATCCTTGTTTTTTTTTTCTACTGGTTAAACATAGAAAACATTCTTGCCATGGAAGTTTCTAGGCAGAAACTGCATTACTGAATGTAGCTATATGTGACTAGCAATTGAAGGAAAACTGACAACTAATTAATTACTTTAAAAATAATTTATACAACTCATATTTTTACACTTGAAAAATATATCATTGAATACATCAATAAATGAAATATGTACAAACTTTAACCCAACTCATTAAATGTACTTACATTATTTACAGTATTTATTCTTCTGCACACCAAAGTCCTCAATCAGACTAGAAACATTTCAAGTTTGATACAAGATTTTCTATAGATAATATTGCCAGCATTCCTTATTCTTTTTTTTTTTTGAACATGGTAGAAATGACAGAAGTTTTGAGAAGCTTAAGAGGAGAAAAACTACTTTCTGCCAAAGCAACAGTAACTGGAACAGTCAGGACTATGCAAAGTTCTATATATACATTGGGGTAGTTTCATGCAAGTCATTTTCTATAAGTTACAAGGCACAGTTTATACTGATATTAGGTGGTAGAATAAGCACTTTAAGTGTCAAGTTTTATGTATGGGCCAGATCCTTTAAAGTAGATGTCTGTGACTTGTTGGCGATAAATTTCAACAATGAATAAACAACACACAGTTCACTTGTTTAAGAATAATATGATAAAACAAGTGAAATGTATATACAAATGTTCATTACACTGTTAGTTACCACAGTTGTATCCAGAGCTTTAAATAATTGTCTCTTTTCGTCAAAGTCCACACCAGCTGGTTCAGTTACTTTGGAACACAATTGACAAGATGAATTATTCTTCTCTGCTCTATTATTATAATACAATCTGTGATAAATTCACTTTAAAAACTGTCACAATACACTCTTTATGCCTAAACTCACAATCACGAAGTCTAGATCTAGCTATCTATACAATTAACTCAAACTACTAATGCTTGAAGACGGTTTGAATGGGTAATCAAGAAAAAGTTTAACATAACAGCAAATGTACAACGTTTCGACGAGGTTTTGTCATAATCGAATTTGAATTCTCTCAAACTACATTTTGGACGTGTATTTATACCCCAAAAGAGGCCTAGAATATTCAACACACTAAGAGATATTATGATGCAATAATACTCAATTAAAACAATGAGAAAAACTTAAAAGGTTCTAACATGATGCAATAATACAACAACTGAACTACACAACGTATGGTTCTTAAACAGTTACAACTAAATTTAACACTTACACCATGTAACTAAATTTTAACTCTCACATTCAACTTAAACAGTCATGTATATCTAACAATAAAACCCTCCTCTTCAAGAAAACTATTTGCAACTTTTTTATACTATATACAAAGACTGGTTTCAATTCATGCACAAAGTATATATAGTCTGCACCAACATTTCCAGTCCCCTTGATGATTTCAGTGTGGAAGTGGTAGTTCTGGAAGTACATTGCCCAACTCATTATCTTCTCACTGTTAATTTTGCACCTCTGGGTGTATGCAATGGGCTGTGTTGGTCAGAATGTCATCCACATAATGCTCGATGTTGGTGGTTTTGTGCACGTCTTCTTCATCATGTAATTGAATGTTGCTGCTGAGTTGACTAATCCAAATGGCATCCTCTTGAACTGGTTGCATCCTCTCTCCATCACAATTTGCCAATAACCTTTACTGACCTCAGTAACCTTGAAAAAGAACTTAGCTCAATAAAATATCACCATTATAACCTCTGAGTTGCCCATATGTTCGGAGTTGAACTTCATCATGAGGTTCAGCTTCCGGAAACCTAGGCAGAAAAGGTCTGAGCCATCTCTCTTCTTCATGATTGCCACCGATGAAAAGTAGGGTGAATTCAAGGGCTCAGTGACTCCAATTTCTAACATTACCTCTTGCTTGGTCAGGTCTCTCATAGTATATGGAATCTGGTAGGACTTCACCTTGACTGGATCCCTGATCACGGTCTTGATCTTGTGTTCCACAAGGTCTGTCTCATTTCTACATAGCACTCTTAGGTTTTCATATTCTGTAGGAGTCACCATCTTCTGGTTCTGCATCTATAACAGCCACACATGCAATGTCCATCTGTACCTCAATAGCTGCACTCGTTAGTTTTCCCTCTCGAAATACCTCTTCAACAGATTAGCATGGCAGATTTTAGTCTTCCCATCCACTTTCACATTATAGTCCACTCTGTTGACCACTTCCTGCACTACAAAATGTTCTTTCCACTTCAGGATGAGTTTTTTTTATTCTGTTGGTAGCAGGACCAAGACCTTCTGTCCAACCTTGAAATGTCGATCATTGACCTTATTGTCATAGAAGTGCTTCTGACTGATTTGAGCTGCATTCGAACTTTTTTGAGCAAATTGACAGATTTTCTCCAATCATTTTCTGAGGTTTAACACATACTGGTTTGTGTTCCTCACTTCTGGTTCTTCTTCTCCTGTCCACTATTCTCTCAATATCTGGATCAGACCTTGTACTGTTCTTCTGTACAGTAACTCAAATGGTGAAAATCCTGTACTCATTAGGGGGACTCCTCGGTAAGCAATTAATACTGCTTGCAGGTACCTGTCTCAGTCACATAGTCTCTTTTGGCACATCTTATTCAGCATGTTCTTTAAGACTCCATTGACTTTCTCAAAAAATTATTACATCTGGGCTTCTATGGAGTGGTAAAGAGCTGCCTGGTGCTGATGAGTTTGTACACTTCTTGCATCAGTTTTAAGGTAAACTGGGCCACTCTGTCATTCAAGACTTCTTTTGGAATTCCTACTCTGCAGAACACTTCCAGGAAAGCTCCTGCTACTATTTCTGTTTCTATCTTCAACAATGCTATGGCTTCTGGGTAATGTGTCACATAGTCAACTACTATCATCATGCACCAGTTGCCCTTGTCAGTTACAGGCACTAGTGGTCCAATCAAGTCCACACCTACTCTTCTAAATGGCTCTTCTATAAGAAGCATCTCATCCAGTGGCACTTTGGTTACCTTTCCTCCAGGTACTGACCTTTGGCATTGTCATATGATCTGCAGAATCTGGTCACATAGCCAATGACTCTGGCCAATAGAAGTTGCTGGTGATGCTGTCTGCCATCTTCTTCACTCCTAGGTGCCCTCCCACAACAGACTCTTAAGCCAACTTCATCGTTTGAGTCTGATATTCTTTTGGTACTATGATTTGTTTATCTTCCCCAGTACAACTGCCTTAATAGATCCAGTACGGCACTCCTTTCTATTCCTCTCTATTTTGTAAGTCCCTTTGTCTTGTGCTCGATTTTCTCCCATAGTTTCTGCAGTGAAGTGTTTTTTTTCTGTGATTTCCTTTAGTTCCCATAGACCTACATTCTGGATGTCACATTGAGACTTGCAGGTGCTTGTTGTCTTGCTTCCATTTCATTTCTTAAGCTCTTGTGGTGATAGCAGATGCCTCAGTCTCCTTCCTGTCTGGTTCCTCCAAACTTCTACTGTTTATTATATTGCCAACCAAGTCATAGATGGGTGTCTTCTTACATCAGACATGGGGTATTTGTAGTTGAATGCATTTGAATACATCTTTGGGAGTATATGTTCTTGCATTCAAATACAATGGCTGAGAATTCATACTTGCTGAATGATTTAGTGGATACTTAATATTGTAAGAGTAAATGTGAACTATTGTACTCATCCAATTTCTAGACTGGAAAGTATTGACCTGATTTAATGTGCTGCAGATGTAATAATGACAACCACCTTAAAAGTTATTGTATTACATAGTTATTAATCCAGTCGCGTCACTTGAGAGAATTTGAAATGATTACTAATTTGTCTTCTGTGGTACATGAACACTTCATACTTCCAACAGATAGGTCTGGTCACATATTGTGAGTAGACTTATTTCCACTTCTAACTGCTGATGCATCTGAATGTAAGCCTTTTTATTATTTTTCTTAATATGAACTATATTCTATGTAAATTATACAATATCATATAGGTAAACTAAATCTCTAAATTTTTAATATTATATATTTTTATTATAAAAACTATATGCTATATTATATGACATTTATTTATTATGATATTTTTTATTATTATAAACTATATTCTATAGTTAACTAAATTTCTCATGTTTTGTACCATATTAATTTTTTTTTATAAACTCCATTCTATATTATATAACTGAGATATGCTTTTATATTTCTAGCACAATCATGAGGCTGAACTACAGATGCCTACAGCATACTGTACGGAATCGACTAAATATAAGTCTACACACCCTTGTCAGAAGTACACCACTCACAAACTTGTTAATTTTATTGCTGATACACTGCAACCTCTTTCAGTGGTGTAGTCAAAAGATTTTGAGTATATTCTTCCCAGTCGCAAGCATCTGTCCATAACATTTATCGAGAGCACGTTTGACAAAGTCCAACAAAAAATCATCTCTCTACTGCAACTTGTACCCAACATCAACGTCATTGTGGATATCTGGAGTAGCATACACATGTGCAGCTTTCTTGGAGTCACTGGTCAATTTATATTTGACTGGAAAATGCAAACAGTCATGCTGGCATGTCAGTGTTTCAAGGGGTGTCAAACATCTGATAACATTGCAGCTCAATATGATGAAATAATAAATATGTGACATCTAATAATGCATCCAACATGATCAAGGCTTTCTGCTTGCCTGGGTTTGAACTGCAAACACTACCTAGTGTGAGAGATGGTGATAGCTCATCTG